ATGCTCTCTTTTACTCTATGTTTCTTCATCTTCACACATAGAATTTTACCTTAGGTGACTGAAGTAAATATTTCCTAAAAAAAAAAAAAAAAAAAAGAACAACAACCCACCACTCACAGCTTCTAATGCAAAAGCACTGTTCAAAAACAGGGAAACAGAAGCATAACCTTCTAGGATAAAAATGCCTAAAACAAAGTGTTACTACAACCTTGAACAAATTCTCCACTGCAACATTCCTGGAAGACAGAATTTATATAATGAGGTTTTAGATGGGAATTAGAAACTTGCCAAAGCTGGGGCAGGAACTCCTCGAGGAAACCGTCCAAGGAGCAGAGAGATGTGCAAGGGTCTTTGCCCAGACTCCTCTATCAAATAAAGAAAGCTGTAGGTAGAAGGAGTCTCGTGCAGCCTTTCCTGGTTTATGTAATTTGATTCTAAGCCAAATAATTTATGCCATAAAGCAAATGGGAGCTGCCATATTTATTTTCTGAAATCTCCCTTCTAGGCAGCATGGCTGTGTGGTGATGATCTCCCATTATGTGAGACACCTCTCATGCTTGCTCCTCGAGGCTGGGAAATGTTTCACCAAGAAGAGATCTTCGGATGGGTCCAATCTGAGGCCTCCCTGAAGTGCAGCTGGACTTCGTTAAAGACACACTTCCACAACATCATATGAAGCCACTTTTGATAACACCTCTGGCAGAGATTCTTTAGGCAATCAAAACCATTTGGTAATGACATTTAACCAGATATCAACCTTCTAAAATGCAGAGCAATTGGACAAATGCTCTGTTATCAAAGGCCTACCATTGCCTTTCAAAACAGAGACAGCAGGATCACAGACAAAACTGACACAGCAAGAAATCAAACAAGTCCTCAGTCAAAACCCCATTAATCCACCTAATTTCCTGGTAGGAATCCAGCCTCTTGTTCTGCATTCACAGCATTCAGTTGCACCATGGACAAATCCAACTACTGGTCTTATGTCAACTGCAAGTGAAAAAGAGATGGACATCGAAGTTCAGCAGTATTTTATGGAACCTGAAGTATATCACAGTCTTTCTCTTGGCAGCTAAACATCTTCAAGGTGTGAAGAGAAACTGCTCCTCCAGCCCGTTAATTTCAACAGATCTCCTTTTTAAGGTCTATCAGCCAAAGTGAGACCCAGTTTTAGAACATGAGAAGCAACAAGGAAAGAATGACAAGAGCAAAGTAGTAAAGAAATTATAGCTTAACATTTCAGGCTGTGTCAAATGCAGCAGGGTCACAGGGAGGAGTATCTAGTGTCAAGAGGCACAGATCTCCAAGTAATTTCTTTGGAGAAGAAGAAATGCAAAATGCACAGAAGCACAGCAATGGGATTAATAAAGCAAATAGGAGAAAGTGAATGTTTCCACCACCCTTTTAGGCATTTCAAACAACAGCCAAGCAAACCTGTCATGTCTCCGTGCCAACAGAATGCTTCAGCGTGGTCAAATATCATGCAAGACGGGAGCTATCTTTGAAGATGGACATTGTTGAAAGACAAGTTTCCCACAGGGCTTTTTTATGGAGAACAAGGATCATTATACAGATGCATGCATGAGAATATGAAATGTTCTAGTGGGTATAAGCTACAGTTGACTCAGTTGAAGTCTCAGTCCTCAGAATCAACTCAAAGACAACATCATACTTTGTCAGCACATAGATATTTCAGAACATATGCAACTCTGAAAAAAATTGCGCACACTTTATGCCTACATTCAAGGGCCAGCATTCTCAGGAAGAGCGCTA